TTTGGCAGGCACATTATCTACATACACTATAATGCTGGTGATACAGTGCTTAACATGTAGTATTTGTATTACACTAAAATCAATAATGTTGATATACATATAACTCATTTTCTATCAATGAGACATTTATATCATAGTCATCGAGACAACCAAAGGCAACACTACCATTCGAAGATGTAGCTGTTAGATAGTCCAGTAAAGTTTGGATTATTAGCTATATTTTTGTGCCAAATTTATTTGTGTTCCATGATGAAAAAATGTAGTTTAATTACATTTTTGAATGTAACTCACTAAAACCTTGTAACATTCACAGAAAAAGATGCCCATAGCAAAAGTGTTAAGAAGCAGTGAACTATGATGAAACATTATCTTCTATGTGACATGAGGAGGAAGTAACTATGATTAAACATCATATTCTGTGTGTTATATATTAAGAGGTAATGAATTAGATCTAAACATTATCATCTAAGTGTACATGTTAAAATTAAGTAACTATGTCTAAATATCAACAGTTACGAGTAGAATAAAATGAGCAATGAACCACGACCAACCATTATATTCTGAGTGGTAGATGGTGAGAAGTTATTAACTATGTCTAAACATTATCTTCTACATAAAGACCAAACATGTACATGTGAAGGAGTGATGAACTAAGGCTAAACATAATATACCATATGGTATATGTTAAAGAGTAAGTAACTGTGACTAAACATAATATACTATGTGGACATCTTAAAGAGTAATATATACTCTCTACACATTAAATCCTACATGTTACCTAGTAAGACAGGGAGAACAAGGCATAAAAGTGCAGGAGCAAAGCTGAACCTGATGGAATTGCCAGCTACTGAGTTAACTGCTCAGGCAGAATAAAGGAACCCATGGGTAGAAGATTTACGTAAGGTGAGTAGGAAAAGGCGAAAGACATTCATCAGGTAGAGAAGTATTCTTAGCAAATGTGGTGGAGAAAGCACTCAAAATCATCCTCTTCAATGCCAGGCACAAAAAAATGGCAAAGATAATAAGTGAAAGGGACGATAGCAGAGGATCCTGGCTGTATAAGGACCACCACACAATGCCATTACATCTTCCAAAAATAAAGAACTTCAGCAGAAGTGGTAGAAAATTATTCTCTTTGAGGAATCTCATCACCTACATTAGTAGAGATAGATGATCTGTGAAATTATATTGAGTATATTCAACTCAATCAAATTGAAATTTGATAGTTGAAAAAAACTGCAAATCTTAGCAAACTCAAAACACATCTGAATATGGCTGTGCTGAGGAAAAAAAGGAAGAGGGAGTACTTGTACATGCAAATGTGTCACACCCCTATTAGTGGAGAATTATGCTACATGATATGTCATCATGTAGTAGCTCAAATTCATGTGCATGCACGTGAAATTAGATGGGAGTTTTCACAAGGCAGATGACATGCAAGTCTCTCACACAGAATGCATTAACTTGAGAGAAATAGCTATTCTGTGTAGGGAGGTCAGTATTTGTTTTGGAATTAGGTATTGATATTCAGGCATGCTGCATTGAATTTACACTTCCCTGGCATACTTTGGCTAACACCTGAGCTTTCAAAAAACTTATTTAAACAAAACAATAAAACTACAAGATTAAAATAAATTCTAAATTACCAGAAGTTACTGAACAAGCTACTAACAAGTATTTCTCCTTTTTCCAGTTTGATTCAATAACAAGTAATAAAGCCTTGCATCTTTCTCCCAAATACTGTACTTTACTGTACTGTAATATTTATAATACTCATCAAACATATTCTTTTCACTTGTCAATACAAGAAGAAGTCAACTTATAATTTATTGGCTTCTGAAAATGCATCCAAGCCAACAAAGCAAAGATTTACACTCATATTGTTACTGCAAAAATGTGTAAAGCACACTCTATCTACTACAGTGCTGTTGAGGCCTTTCACCCAATACCATGACGAAGCATGACATAGCAGTGATTGAGGTGCTATTGATATCATGAAATGTCTTGAACAACTGAATGATTTTACTTGTTGTAAAGGATGCCATCATATGTATGTCATCACAGGGTATAACGATTAGAAGTAAAATCATGAACCAGTTTTTAAAAAGTTTATTCATCTTAGATCTGAAAGAAAAACTAATAATGACACAAACATACAAATAAAATAATATTAATAAAATACATCACAATTGAATATTTAGTCTTCACTGGCATTTGAAATCAACAAATGGTCCCCAAAATATACAGCTATGGCACCCAGAATATCACTCAAAATATCCCAGCCTAGATCTATGACTGTACAAATAACAGTAAACCTTACCAGATATAAAATGACAAATTATCTTTAATGGCACATAACTGACTATCTCTTGCACATCATACTGTTGCTGTTTGGATTCAAATTTCTCTCTCTCTTTTTATTAACAATTGTTGGTAATAAGTGATGAAGAACTCAAGCTAGAAACATTATTAATTATTTTTGGTGTTTTTCTCATTCTACAACTCACATTTTCTAGAAATAGTTTACCACAAAGCTGAGATAAACACAATGGTACGACTATCATCTATAAAAATGGGGGATAAGGAAGCGATGGGTTAGTTTTAAGGACTTTTCCCGGAATCTTCTGATAAAAACCATTGATTTTCCAGAACTGCTGGTATTGAAAAATCTGTTTACAAAATTGCATGACTTTTCAGGATTTTCATGACCTGTGCCAACCCTGTATGTTGCTCTCCCATAGCAACACCTTGAGTTCTTATGTAGTGTTTTGCCAAATTGAAAATAGCTATTTCTTAGAATATGATATTTTCTCAATTGAAGTAAGATACATCAAGAACTGAGAACAAAAAGTGATTTTTTCCTTATTAAAGTCATTACAGCTTGCATAGTCTATTCAAGTAACAGAACAATACACAGAAACTATGTCCAGGGTAAAGAAAAGAGAGTGCAGTATTTTTAAGTAACCAGAATAAAGAAACAATTGGTTAGTTGCAAGTTGAAATAATTAGGCGTATTAAAAGGGAATATGTGCCTTGTGTTCCTTAGGTAGCCCATATTGTTAAGAAGCTTTTCTGTATGATGACTTAAGATTGTTAAGTAGTACTTTTGAAATTTTATCCTATGTTTTGCCTTTTTAATTATCAAACTTTTAGCAATTTCAAAGCTTTCCTTTACTTTCAATTTAAATTCAACTAATAATTATTACCTCAAAAATTGATTTTAATACAAAGTTATTTTCTTATTCTAATTTTTTCATCTTGACTAAATAACTAATATGGAGACAAGTGTTTTAATCTGTATTTTGTAATTAAAAATAAACATTTCACTTACCTTTTATTTTAACCCTTTATCAGTATATGTTGTACATGCAAGTTATTTCTTCCTTGTAGTATATTTTTCCCTTTATACAATGTTGTATTACATTCCATCATCTCATGTAGATATATTTTTTGTGTGCTGTGTCTTTTTCAATAATATATCATTTGAATTGTAGATATGATAGGCACTTAACAACTGAGAAAGGCAGAAACTGGAAGCTGGACATTATTAGGGACTTTTATTGATTTTTAAATAGTGAAAATAACAAAAGCATTTACACACAATTGGATTCAAAGTTAAAAATTAGTTGACTTACACTACAATTTAAATTATGTATTTAACAATTAATGAAAAACAATTTGTAACTGTACCTGTAAACTGAAATTCATGCTATGCAACTGTCTCATTGGAACAATGCTAATAATATGTGATTGATATAAAATTACTGATTTACCCGAGACATTGCATGAAACTTGTGAAAAGGTGAGATAAAATGTAATCCTAATAAAATACTTCAATTTAAAACTCACACATGCAAATTTATATTTTATTGATAAATGAAATGAAAACTGTCAACAAACAAATGTTCAAAATCAAGTATGAACTTAACATGTTTACCTATTAAAAAAAGTAAAGGAGATATTTTTGTATTCATGACGTAAACTGTTGTAAAGCTAACATATTGTCTGCCTATATTTCTAATAAATCATTTATTTGACATACTGTCAGTTGGATTTGGGCAGACATGTATTAGTTCATGAATTATGTAATACAAACCACACATTTTATTGTATGGCTTGGTCTTTTCAAATTCAGTGACAAAATGTATCTATTAAAGGTTTTAAAGTTTTGTTCATGTTTTTTTTTCAAATAGAAAATACTTCTGGATTCCAAAAAACCATCCAGACCAATCTAGAGCATAGAAAAGCTACTGTTTGATAAATCACTGATCATTATTGGTCAAACAACAACTCACCGAAACCTTATTTTTGGTTCTAACATTCACCCATTCCTCTACACAAAATGGTGGAGGAAAGTTTAATGATCATGGTGATCTTATTATAGCCAGTTTACAACTAGTGGGAGTACAGTTGCCTTGAAACAAACTGTGCACACTCAGTTTGTAATAGTACTGTAGAAGTTCTGCACCCATTGTTTCGAGTAAAATAATTTAGTATTTTGTTTATGTGAGATTAATATATTCACAACTGTGATTTCTCATTCACACACTTACATGGTCAGGAACTATAATTCTTTGGGACTCCCTAGTATTATTAAACAAAATATTCTTCCAGATTTTATGGTCACAATTTTTATAATGGTTCCTTATCTCCTGTTTATAGTTCAATATGTAAACTCTAATAATCAATCACAAAATATGAATGCCAAAAAATTTCAAAACTCAGCAAAACTGTGAATTAAATTTTTTTTGTTATATTACTGTACAAAGTTATTTATCTCAATCAATAACAGACATTTAAAATGTATACAAAAAATAAATAAAAACATTGCATAACATTTAACTATCAACACTAGTTAAGTAAAATTTTGTTTAAAACTAAAGCTTAATAATGATTTCAACATATTCAGAAAAGCAACATACTTTATTTTTAAGTAATATTAAATGTTAAAGTTAATGCCAACCATACAAAGTTTCATAACACTGATGTAAATATTATACCTTTCCTTGCTTCACAATATAGTAAGGATTACTTCTAGAAAATCCAGCACTTTCCAACAAATTCATTACATCTGTTCGCCTGTCAAAAAATATTAAAACTTCAGTTATAAAGAAGAATGAATAAACTACTCAGATGTTTAAGCCAAATGGATTACAGTTTGAGAAATATGATAATAACTATATAACAAATTGAAACAAATACTAGTAAAATAAAACTACTTGGAGAATGTTACTACAATTACAAACAATAATCAGAGTATTAAGTTATAAAGAAAAAAAATGAGGAGGTCTTTAGGAGTTACATAAAGTAAATATAAAGGGAACAATATACACTTAATACAAAATTAAACACTCACTTGATTATAGTGAGATATAACTTAAAGAGTATTTTCAACCAGTAATCACAACTTAAAATTATGGAGAAAAAAAAAAAGAGAAGGGCTTAACCCTCTCGCCCCAGTATCCTTTACTGAGCATGACACAAGGTTTTAGTGTCTTATATTCAAAATTTTATTAAACTATCTTTTGTTTATGTTATACCAATTAGTATAGTATAGAATCTTAGCTAATAACCCATATTTTAATGGTATATAAGTTTTAAGTTCTTAGTTCTATAAGGCAATATCTAAATAAATCCTGAATTTCCCATAGTGTGACTCATGAGACACATTCTCTCTAAGTATATTCTCATCTCTATTTTACCCCCCCAAAAAAGAAACTACGAAATTAAACGTAAATTAGTCACTATAAAATTGTCACTGCTCAGTTAAACCATAATTTTTATAGCCTTCAATTTTGTTTGGTTACAGAGCTATCAAGTAGAAAATCAGACCCCTTCTGTCACATCCAGGGTTAACTGTCATGGATAGTTGAGAGCAAAAAAAAAAAGAAGAATACTTGGGTAAGTACTATATTTCTTGTTTCTTATGTTAATTCTTTATCTATCATTATAAAAGTAACTAAAACATAAAGATAGATATCTCTTTAGGTTAGTTAATATTAGATTAGGTAAAATAAACAATAATAATAATATAATAAAAAATTTTCACAAGACACGCATGAGAGCAGCTTGAGGTAGCTCGTGGGTAATGTAATTCAATAGTGTAACATGAGCTGCATGTTCCCCAAGTGATTAACAACTTATAATGGTACAAATAGTAGTTAGACACAGTTCAAAAGGTAATAAAACAATAAAAATTAATTATAAATAGCTACATTTGAAGTCATTCTAGAAGGAAAAGGAGGGTAATTTAGATTTATTTAGATGAGGGGGGGGTCAGTCAAATTGACCAACCTAGAGTTAGGGTAGAGAAAATAACAGATAAAATATAAAGTTTTACTAACAGCAAATATATGAAATGTATTTAGGAGGTTTTAGAGATTTCACACATGAAATTTGGGATTTTTGAGATGAAGAAAAGTATTTTTAATTTTAACATGAAAATAACTTTGCAACCAGATTATTCAAAACAAATAATATATTCATGGACAAATCTTTATTTTAGTTTATTAAAAATACATCACTAAAAAAATATGATTTTTGTATGTGAAAGACTTATAATGTTAACTGAAAGACTGCCAAATATTGTGAAGAAATACACACTATATTGAAAGTTAGAAGTATTAAACCTATAAAGGAGTACAAACAGGTAATATGGTCAGTCAAATTGATCAAGCCCGTGTGGAGAGAGTTAAAGAGCTGCCTAAAGTGCAAGTCAAAAGTAACTACTAATTTTATTATGTTTATAGGTAAAACAATCATTATATTGGTATGTTAACTCAATTACTTCATATTTTCAACTTAGTAAGTACTTTCAATACACCCTCACTTGTAAAAATAATTTGTTTGAAATTTGTGGATGATAAGAAGGAACAACCAATTGTACTTACGTCACCATCTTTTTGTTCAAAAAGTACTGATCTTTCTTGGAACCAATTACTCTTCTAAGTGAAACCTCTTCTTTGTCAATCTATGAAAGATATAGTAAGAAATGTGGCTTAAAAACTAACTTCTATTATCTCCTCATACAAAAACTGTATTTCACTCTTTCTATACAAGAATCCTTTTCTGCTCATGTCAGTGGTTTTACAAAATTACATTCAAAACTTAATTAAGCTATTAAAAAGCTATATGAAAAAACTAGGAATCAAAACATAGCTAATAATCCAAATTTTAACAATATATAAGTTTAAGTTCTTAATTTTATAAGGCAATATTAAAACAAAAATTCTGAATTTCCCCAATTAGAACTGTGACATTTGCTCTCTCGGCATCCCCTCTTCTCTAATTTATTTACCACCCCTCCAAGAAATACAAGATTTAACGTAAATTACTCATTATAATATTGTCTTTGCTTGGACAAAGCATAAATTATATAGACTTCAATCTTATTTGGTTAAGAAGCCATAAACTAGAAAACCAGACCAATCTTTCTATGCCCACCTATCACATTCTCTCTTTTACAAATTGCCAATACTTTTCTCTAAAATTTAATGCTATATTATTTACAAGCTGAGGTACCCGTCCTTTTTATAAATGTAGGAGTGGATGCTAGAATAAATGACACAAAAATACTACCTTTCACACAATTTATTTATAATATATTATTATAGTATTCACTATTACCTCACAAAAATTTTTGTATAAGCTTTAAAAAATCAATATGAATATATTTAAAACATTGTATGTGGTGTGCGATGGTCAGGATGACTTTGTAGAAAGAGTTAGGAGCCAAAGTAGTGGCAGCAGGGGTGCTTTCTGTTACATGCTTTCAACACCAGCTCTTAATGTCCTTCCACAGTGTTTCAAGTGATTAACTGATTGACGTATGTTGGCCACAGAAGTGTATTACAGGTCAAAGTTGAAATATAATGGGTCAAAATATGAAGTGGGTATAACTCAAGAAATAGCTCTTCATATCAGCCTTATGATGGCTGTTGGAGTAGAAGCTTCAGCTGAGCTTATACAGTATTCCAATAGTGGTGGCCATTTTTTTTTCATTGCATTCTTTCATAGTGTGTGTTAGCACACTCTTTGAGGTATATAAGATGTTTGGGTGCCCTTCCCACCATACTGTGTATGTTGTTTTATAGAAAATGTAATTGTTTTTTATATTTTTTTGGTGTAAAGACATAGCACCATCTATAAATAAAGTTTGGTTGAGACTAGCCCAGCAACCACAGACACATTTTTGTGCTTTATATATACATATATAGATAGATAGATAACCAATACAAAGCCAAGCTTTTAAACAATCAAATGATGTATCATCTTAACTCTTTCACAATGAGTGTCCCTTTAAGTGCTTTTCTGTGCAAGTCACTGTGTTAATTAAACACCTTTACTATCAATGTATGTGAATGAAATTAACATTATAATGTATGTTATGATTCAAAGTTTTATGTTATCTTGTGTCAAGATGAATAATAAGTGGTAAAGGACAAGAAAAGAAAACATTCAAAATCAACTATATATAAAAAGGAGAAGACCTGATATTAGAAATTTAACAAAAGAAAAATTTTAAAGATATTCTACAAAAAATTAAAAGGTAGGTATTTTTTTCTATTTCCTAATTTTAAATATTTCATTGCAGCGTATGTTGATGATAATAGCTAGAGTTAGTGATATAGTATTGAAAATTAAAAATAAAATATAAACATTTACCTTAAAAACTTTTGATATTCATTTAGTATGTTCTAGAGGTTATGCAAATAAAATACAAAACTATATGATGAAGAAAAGTATTTTTATACTTAAAATGAAAATCCCATTACACTCAAACTATTTTAACACCTTGAGTGCAAATAACTACTATAGATGAATAACATTTTTATTAGAAAGATGTAATTAAAATAATGTCATTCTTTGTTTACAGAATACTTAAAACTTTTAACAAAATCTTACGAGGTTTTATGAGAAATGATCAGTTATCATAGGTTTATTGCATATATGTTCTTCCCCAGGTTAAGTGATGTATACTGCAAGAGCCCAATGCAAAGGGGTTGTTTTCTATACAGAGAACTATCTTTTTCTCTTCCAGGTCAAATCGTATTCCCATGGGAAACACACTGACGAGCTTAGCTGAATTTTTAAAAGTTCGTTGCACAGTTAAAAAGCCAGAAAAATTGAGATAGTGACATGACATTGTCTGTATCTTGTGTGTTATTAGTCTGTGTTCTTTGGTGCATTATTTAATTAAATAAAAAAATATTCAGTAGGGGTATACCATTAGTATAAAAAAGTAGGGTTAAGTTTCACTGAGAGTCAACAGCAAAAAAAATGCAAGTAAGTTGTATATTTCTTGTTTTTATGTGTATTCTTTATTATTATAAAAGTAACTAAAATGTAAAAATTAGAAACTTTTTAGGTTAGATTAGATAAAATAAATAAAAATAAATAAATATTTTTCCTGAGGCACACTTGCAAGTAGACCATGCATTATGTAATTCTATAGGGCAATGTGAGCTACATGTTTGCCAAATGGTTTACAGGTGGTAAGATTATTAGTTAGACATAGTTCAAAGGGAATAAAATAATAAAATTTAAGTAAAAACAGATTTATACTGTTTCCAGTTTAAAGCTATTATGATAAATGTTTTTTTCATGTTACAATTTGAAGTTATTCTAGAAAAATTCATATTTATTACAAATATGTTTGGTAGTTACGAGATCAGTCAAATTGACCAACAAGGGTAGAGAAAATAACAGATATAGTATAAAGTTTTGCTAAAAAAACATTTGAAATTTATTTAGGTTATAGAGATTATGCAAATGAAATTTGACATTTTTCATAATAAAAAAAAATCTTTAATCTTAACAAGAAAATTATTTTGATTACGAGCAGTCAACACTTTGACTCCATATATTCGTGGAAAACTTTTTAGTGAAAATAGTTCATTAAAAATTCTGATTTTGTGTCTACAAATGACTTTATGATTACTGAAAACTTGCAAAAATTTGTGAAGATACACAAAACATATTTAAATTATACTATGGAAACTATAAAGGTTAATTTGGGGTTCTAAACTTAACTGATTTGACTAAGCCCATAGTGAGAGAGAGAGTTAAACAGACTATGTAAAACCATAAACAGTCATCCCCATCTCCCTCAACTAATCAATCTTCTGTTTTAACTCTCTCACTACAGGCTCAGTCCTAAGGACTGACCTCATAAGCATTTTGTGCTTGTAATAATTTTCATGCTTTAACTTTTAATACAGTAAGCGCATCTTCATGAAATTTTGCAGATTATCAGTAGACATTACGAGGCTTTCATTTGCAAAATTTCAGATTTTTGATTAAGTTGTAAGATTTTTTTAAATAATGTTTTTCTCATGCATTTTTTCTTTTTGAATGTTGACTATCCGACGTGCAAAGTAACTTTGATTTTAATATTAAAAATACTTTTATACATAACAAAATGTTTAAATTTCACATATGAAATCTTTATAACCTCCAGATAATTATTAAACTTTTTATTTAGAAAAACTTTATATTTTATCTGTTACTTTCACTATATCTTTGTACAGGTTTGATTGATTTGACCAACCTCATAACCACCATAAGAAATTAGGAAATTGATATAAATTATGCTTTTTTTCATTCTAAAATAACTACAAATTTAACATGAAAACACAAGCTTCAATATCATAACATCATCTATATATATTTACTTTTTTATTTTATTGACCTTTCAGCTGTGCCTGACTAACATTACGGAAGTTGCAATGACCTAGCGTACGTGCACTCATGTTACTGTATCCAATGATATAAAACTGGCCTTTACAAAGTGACCTGTCTAGGCTGTGTTCTAGTGGGCTAGTATTTTGTAAAATAGTTACATTTCAGTTATATTACTTTATTTATGTATATACATTATTATTATTTACAAATAAGTTCTTAAATTTCAGTTATTTTTCTAAAAACATAGAACAGTAAATAAAGAAATATAGAAAACAATTATCTCTTCTAGTTACAAGCTTTGTACTCATTTGCTGCTTGCCGTAAGTTGCTAAGCCTTATCAAATTGCTCATGTGGAGGATGTAAAGCAAAATAATTTATTTTTAGGTTTATATATGCATTTTGAAATAACAAAAAATTGTAACAAACTTATTTCTAAATAACAATATAATCTCTATATATATAATAATTGAAATGTGATTTTATTTTACAAAATACTAGTCTGCTGAAATGCAGCCAAGATAAGTTACTTTGTACAGACCAAAGGTCAGTTTTATGTTATTTGATACAGT